GCGGTGAGGCCGGTCTCAAAAAGGACAAAAAAAAAAAAAAAAAAAGAAAAGAAATCTGTCTAAAATTATATTACTTAAGAAAATAACGCATTTTCTGGACTCTATGAATAAATGTGACATCTCTCTGACATAAATTTCCCAGAAAATGCTTTACTTTCATCTCCAGAGAATATCTTTTTAATATGGAGATCTAGACATACTTTTTAAGTAGTTATGCCTACTCTTGAAGGCTTGAATAAATAAATTTCTTTAGATACTAGATTTTCAAATATGTTTTAACTGATAAGAATATTTCACAGTTGAGAAAACAAGATTTGAAGAACCCATGTGCTCCAAATACAACCTTGATTGAAAACCAGAGTATTTAGGTTCAAGTATGTTTTCTCTACATGGATCCTTATAATTTAAAATATGCTCTATCATTATTAGTAAGGACATGACTAGCATATTAATGCTGTGTTTGCATTTGGCAATGTTGCTGTCTAAAATTAGATTATAATACTTAAGATTCATCTGTGATTGGATTTTGATTTGATGTTGGACTGTTTGATTGAATCTAGATATTCCTTTTTATCAACTATAAACAAGTAAACAACTTTATTTCAGGCATTTTTGCTATAACTGTTCTAGGAAATGCTAAAACTACAGGACCAATTTTTCTGTTTGGAGCCATGATTTTAGAGTCGCCATTTGCACTATAGATTTCTATTGTTTTTTAAAATTTGTTTCAAATGTGGAACTTTCATCAACATTGGTATGTTGGTAGAACTTGGAACACAAGATGGACATTAATACAAAAATACAAAATATGAAAAAATGCAAGAAAGATTATTTGCAATGCCATACTGAAGCAGCCTATGACTTGATTTTAATAAAAATAATAATAATGTTAGAATTTATCCCTGAATGCCTCATAATAGGTTGTCTTTAGAAACTGCATATAATGTATCAATGTATGATTAATAAATGCATTATGTTTTATACTACAATACAATGTATGCATTAGTTAACATTGATCTATATATATATAATATAATGCCATCAGTAGTCTTGGAGAGTTTTCATAATAGCAAAAATGAATATCTTTCATTAAATCCCATGTTCTGATCATAAATTTCTATATTTTAGAGCTAAAAGCTACTTAAAATAAATTTACTGCTAATCACTCATTATTTTGATGAGGAAATTTAGGTTTCAGAAAAGGATTTTCTACAATGGTGATTGATAAAATGAGGTTCCTTTTTTTAGATAAATATTTTGAAATATTTCTAAAAATATATTAACATTAGTCACTTTGGGAAGATTTATTAATCTGCGTTAGCAATTTTTTTCAATGTAATTTTCTAAAATTTCTTATCGTAATAAAAACTGGGCTACATAGATTCTATAAAAGAAGTACCAAATGTATTTTTTTTTACTATTTTAATCAAGAATATGATTTTTGAGATTATAACCTTGTTCCCCAATTTATAGGATCTATAATTTTATTTTTTAGGAATTCTAAAAGCATTCCAAGAGTTCTATGAAATATAATTCCTTAATAAAATTATATTTATAGTCTGGTAGCTTTCGTAACCCCATAAGAATTAATTTTTTCTTCCAAGATCTGATCTGGTCATTTATACCAATATTTCTGATCAAAAGCATATCAATTACAGTTCTTCTTCATGTGGGAAATAGCCAAATCCTTCATTAACTGCTTCCCTGCAAAACACTAGAAATATACTTTTTTAAGAATCTGTAACAGAGAAACGTTAAATGAAGAAACCTGAGTTATTTCAAAGAAGAGGCAACATACTGTAGTTAATCGGGGTTATTAAGTGAGTTTAGCTACTAATCTCAGTCCCTTCTCACATTTGGTTCTGAGAATGCTGGTCACCAATTTAATGCCATCTGGGCAGGGGATTGGAGGAGTCTCTGTAGGAAAACTGACAAACCATAGAAAAAAGCCTACAGATCCCCAAAACTGGGGGCCTTGGTTAAACAGGCCAGCTAATACACTGAAGATGAAGCCTACTCTTGATCGACAAGGCTACCACTAAGATCTTATGTAATTGATTCTTAAATGAGTGTACCAGATAA